TTTGGAATCTGGAGATTCTCTGGAGCACATTTTAGTACTGTTAATCTATATTCTAGTAAAATTTAATGCTAGACTACATGTATTAGTCAGGGTTCCTCAAAGAAAAAAAACCAAGAAGAGATATATATTATAATATGTAATAAAAATATTTACTATAGGGAATTGGCTCACAATTGTAAGGAATTGGAAAAGTCCCAAGACCTTCAGTTGACAAGGTGGAGACTCAGGAGAGTCAATATTTAGTTACAGTCTGAGTTCAAAGACCTGTGAATCAGGATAGCTGATTGTGTAAGTTGTAGTTCAAAGAAAGCTTGAGACCCAAGCTGAGCTGATGTTTCAGTTTGAGTCTGAAGACCAAAAAAGACAAATATCCTAGCTCAAACAGTCAGGCAAGAGGAGTTCCCTCTTACTTAGCCTTTTTGTTCTTTTTAGGTTTTCAACTGATTGGATAAGGCCCACCCACATTATGGAGGGTAATCTACTTTACTCAGTTTACTGATTTGAATATTTATCTCATGCAAAAACATCCTCACAGACACACCCAGAATTATGTTTTACCAGTTGTCTGGGCACCTCCTAGTCCAGGCCAGTTGCCAGGTAAAATTATCCATCACACAACAACTCACTAGAGACTAAGAAAAAAAACCCTTTAGGAATAAAGATTGGGATCACCTTTCAGGTGTGGGAATATGATCAGTTGACATTCTGGCTGAGGGAAAAGGGAATATGAGTCATATATGGGAAGGAGGGAGGTACAAATACCAGATATGGCCTTATGAGCAGTAATAGAAATGAGGATAGTAACAGCTATGCTTATTTTCTTTTTTTTCTTGTATTAGTTTCCTGGGGCTGCTATAACAAATTACCTCCAATATATGGTGCTCCCTATAGTCAGAATAGATAGGTTCAGGAATTAAGGGGTTGATGGTTGATTAAAACAAGAGGAATTTATTCTTCCACAGTCCTGGAGGCTAGAAATCAAAAATTAAGGTGTCAGCAGGGCCATGCTCTCTTTGAAGGCTCTAGGAAAGAATCCTTCCTTGTCTTTTCTTAGCTTCTGGGTGGTTGCTGGCAATCCTTGGCATTTCTTATCATATAGCTGCATCATTCCAATCTTTGCCTCCATGATCACGTGGCTTTCTTCCTTGCATGTCTGTGTGGTCAAATCTCCCTCTTCCTTCTCTTACAAGGACATCAGTCATTGGATAGGGTCCACTGTATGACAGTATGATCTCATTTTAACTTGATTATATCTGCAAGGGCCCTATTTCCAAATGAGGTCACATTCGCAGTTACTGGGGGTCAGGACTTGAACATATCTTTTTGGGGGACACCATTCAACCTGAAATATTTGTTATGTATATAAAGCCAATTATTTTCCTCCTTTCCCTCTTCTCCCATTTTATATATGGAGTTTTGTTGATTGTTTGAAACTTCTCTTTTTTCTTGGTAAGTCTAACAAAAGTTCTGTTAATTTTATAATGTAGATTATAAACTATCCAGGTGAAATTGTGGCTTAACTAGAAGTGGAATCAATATCTCCCGGACATGGATATGATAATAAACAAGGCTTTGTGCGTTCTCTTTTTGGGAAGAGACAGGATGAAGGTATATTAGCCAGACAGAACAAATAGGATATGTACATAGATATATGAGAGGGGATTTATTAGGGTAATTGGCTCACTTGATTATGAAGGCTCAGAAGTCCTGTGACAGTCTAGGCTGCCTGCAAACTGGAGACCCTGGGATGCCGGCAGCATGGCTCAATCCATGTTCAGAAGCCTCAGAACCAGGGAAGCCGATGGTGTAATTTTCAGTCCAAGGCTAAAGGCCTGAGAGCCTGGAGATGCTCTGGCCTAAGTCCTGGAACCCAAAGGCTGAAGAGCCTGGATTTCTGATGTACATGAACAGGAGAGAAGACTGCACCTCAGTTCCAGTGGATAGAGATACATTTGTCTTTTCCTCTGTTTTTGTTTTTTCCGGGCCCCCAGCAGATTGGGTGGCACCTGCCCATATTGAGGGCAGATCTCCCACAAATGGAATATTTGTATCTTGTTAGGCAGACACATGATCTTATTTCCCTGTTATTTAGAAGTTTAGTATGGAAGAATGGTGAAAATGCTGAATACCTGAAAAGGTAGACTTAAAAAAAATTTTTTTTTTTTGTAGGAGACTAATGGGAGACCTACTGGAGAGAGGAGAAGCCATTTTTTGTTTTCTGTTTCTGGTGGAGTCTCTGGCAGCTTCTCAGTTCCTACACAGGCAGGGCAGTTCCAGCAGCTGTAGCATCAGGGTGTACCCTGCACTCCTGGAGCTCTGACTTTGGCAGTGGTGGTGATAATGGTAGGCAACTTTGGGTTCCAAGTATTCTGTAGACTCAGTGTGAGTGTGGACTCCTTTCTTACTGCGAAACAGCAGCCATTCCAGCATCAGTAGAAAATTGTTCCAGATGCCTCGATGGCACAATGATCATGCGTCCTAGGTAACAACATTTTCTCTTTTGCTCCTTTAGTCCTGGGAGGTGATGTTTTCTGGTAGTTATTAACCTTTTTGCTACTGCAACCCTTCCAACACTTTTGCAAATAATTGGCTGTACTAAATTTCTTCTGTTTGAATACTTAAAGTGATTTATGTTCACCCAAATGGACACTAACTGGTATACTTTTCTTCTTTGGCACTCAGCTAGTCTACCTTTCTCCCTTTCAATTAGATGTGGCTGAATTCTAGATGATGGGATGAGACTGAGTGATATATGCCATCTTGAGGCCAAGATTTTTGAAAAATGAGTATAGGCCCCCTCTATACCCGCCCTTCCTTTAGCTAGATACAGATAACCTCAGGAGATGGTGGAACAACAGCATGAGTCCCTGAATCACCATGTGGAGAGAAGCATTAGGTTATTATGTGATCGGGAAATAAAAGTTGTATCCGAGCCTTTATATGTCTTGGGGCCTATTTGTTACAGCAGATAGTGTTACTCTAACTGATAAAGTTTCTCTCCAACTATTACACATTTTTATAGTCTGTAAAGCAGCCAGAAGTTCATTCATAGTACCAGAATAGTAGGTGAACAGCAAAACGACTTCATTTCTGCGGATTTATTTATTTTATCTTACCTATGGTTGGAGTAAAAGTTTTGTAAATTTTGAATGACTCTAAGTGTTTCTGAACAAATGAGCAGAAAAGCAAGCATATGCACAGAATGACTGGGTTCTGCTCAGCTTAAAAACCCATTACTAATCACCCACTCTGGTTTGAAATGTTTCCAATTTATACATACAGAAATACAGGTCGCGGGCTGGCCCGGTGGCGACAGTGGCCGCTTCGGAGTGCGGCGGCGCTCCCGCCAAGGGTTCGGATCCCACATACAGACCGGTTCCCGCTCACTGGCTGAGCGAGGGGCGGTCACAGCACCAAGGGTTGCGATCCCGTTGCCGGTCCCGGTCCGGTACGGGCGCGACACTGAGGGTTGCGGTCCGTTGCCGGACACGAAAAAAGACAAAAAGGAAAAAAAAAAAAAAGAAATACAGGTCGCCCTTAATCTGTGTTATAATCTGTCCTATTTCCGACTCCGTTAAAAATGACTGAAACAATATGGAATCCCAAATTCACACTTAGTACACCTGTGAACACCAGAACTTGATGAAAGACTAGCCTACACGGTTTCAGCAGCTCGAGCCGCATCCTGATTCTCACTTCCTCCAGCCCCACCTCCGGTCCCGCCCCTGTCTTCGCAGCCAATGGGGCGCCGCACCACCGAGAAGGGACTCTAGGGATCCGCCCCTCCATCGCCTCAGGCTGGGGTGGGCTTCCACCCTCTTTTTTCGGATAGCGCGCATGCGCACTCTCATTGTGCCCTGGCGAGACGCTTAGGGATCGGATTTCTTCTCCTTTCTTTTCCCATCGCGCGACTCTCCGAAACCCTTCCTACCCTATTATTGCCGAGGATCCCTTTCCTAGTCCCTCAGAAAAGGTGCTGCTCCGGCCTTGGGTGTGGCAGTACCCGGATGTGGAGCCGCTCTCGCCCGGCGAGGACTCTGTGGCGGGGCGGAGCGCGGCGGCGTGCGCGGGGGCAGAGAGAAGGGGGTCTGTGGGCCCGGGCACTCGCCGGACGCCGGGAGGTACCACCGCCGCCCACGGGGGAGGAGGCGGCGCCGGCGCTAGGGCACCCACCCGGGAGCGAGGGCCCGGGGGAGAATAAAGGATGTTTTCTGGTAGTTATTAACCTTTTTGCTACTGCAACCCTTCCAACACTTTTGCAAATAATTGGCTGTACTAAATTTCTTCTGTTTGAATACTTAAAGTGATTTATGTTCACCCAAATGGACACTAACTGGTATACTTTTCTTCTTTGGCACTCAGCTAGTCTACCTTTCTCCCTTTCAATTAGATGTGGCTGAATTCTAGATGATGGGATGAGACTGAGTGATATATGCCATCTTGAGGCCAAGATTTTTGAAAAATGAGTATAGGCCCCCTCTATACCCGCCCTTCCTTTAGCTAGATACAGATAACCTCAGGAGATGGTGGAACAACAGCATGAGTCCCTGAATCACCATGTGGAGAGAAGCATTAGGTTATTATGTGATCGGGAAATAAAAGTTGTATCCGAGCCTTTATATGTCTTGGGGCCTATTTGTTACAGCAGATAGTGTTACTCTAACTGATAAAGTTTCTCTCCAACTATTACACATTTTTATAGTCTGTAAAGCAGCCAGAAGTTCATTCATAGTACCAGAATAGTAGGTGAACAGCAAAACGACTTCATTTCTGCGGATTTATTTATTTTATCTTACCTATGGTTGGAGTAAAAGTTTTGTAAATTTTGAATGACTCTAAGTGTTTCTGAACAAATGAGCAGAAAAGCAAGCATATGCACAGAATGACTGGGTTCTGCTCAGCTTAAAAACCCATTACTAATCACCCACTCTGGTTTGAAATGTTTCCAATTTATACATACAGAAATACAGGTCGCGGGCTGGCCCGGTGGCGACAGTGAGAAGGGGTCGGGGCCCGGGTAGTGCGCGGACCGGACTGGAAGTGGGGGAAGCAGGACGGCGGCGAGGGCCATGTGGGCACGGTGCGGAGCTTCGAGAGCCCCGAAGAGGTGGTGGTGGTGTGGGACAACGGCACCGCCGCCAACTACCGCTGTTCCGGGGCCTACGACCTGCGCATCCTGGACAGCGCACCCACCGGTAAGCGACGGCCAACCGGTCCGGCCCCTGCGCGCGTGGGCGGAAGGGGCAAGGCTGCGGTGGGCATCGGAGCCGCCTGGGAGTGGTCCGAGGTCGGACGCCTAGTTAATGGCGCCGAGCTGGAGTGCGCTGCAAGGGGAATAGCCAAAGGGAATTTTAGGTTCAATACTGCGTAAACAAAAAGTTGCCGAAAAGACCCCCTACCCCCAAGAGAAATGACGGCAGCACTACTTGCAAGCCTGGAGGACACAAAGCACTGGGGAGACAACAGACCGTTCCCCTCCTCCTCCTCTAGGGAAGGGGTCTGGAGAGGCCTGTCTAATAAGCCATTGAAATTAATCAGCCATCTAGTGAAAACTGTCTGAAGGGAGGCTTGCCTTGCCATATGGTGCTTAGTTGACCGGTTACAATTGCTGAGGGGCCCTTGGTACCTTAGATTTTTTTTAGATATCCTTTGTTTTCCTTGCCGTCTTTGACACGTAATGACTTGGAGTTCAGTAGCCGAATGTTACTCGGAACCCCGTGGAATGAATTTTCATCTAAATTGTCTAATTCTGTATCGTTATATCAATAGAGGGACAAACATTCTGAGTTCTTGAACCATTTCTTTGTGTTAAATGCTTTTTCCAAGTGGGTGATAGGCATAGGGGATACCTGATGTTCTTTTTTAACATCCCGTCTCAGTAAGGTGATGTAGAGTCTTATCCATTCACCCAGAAGTGAGTCAGTGTCCTCCTCGATGCACTCAATTTTAGGGGTCTGTTTGTTATTGTGTCTAGAGTTTTTGTATGATAAAATGAAGGCTTGTGCTCACAAAATAAATATCTAATTTATTTTAACCTAATTCATTTTTACATAGGTTTATCCTTGCTATTGTATTCAGTAAAAAATAGTTCAAATTTAAAACTGGGTAATTTTTAGAATTCCTAAATGAGCTGTTTCTAAGACATTATGATTGAGGTTGACAAAGCCTAACAGACCTTGAAATGGGCTCATAGTTGTTGTTAGCAGCAGTAAAAAAGAAATTAACACAAACCAACTGAGTTTTTGAACAGATGATTCATAAAATTGTGTTTCTTAGCTAGCTTTTTTAAAATTGAAAAGGGTGTATGTTTATGACCTAAAGAAAATAAAAAGATTCAACAGTATGAAAAGGGGCAGCCATGATCAGTTTCTTGTGTATTCTTACAGAATACTGTATGCATTGAAAGCATATGTGTGAATATACTGAAAATCTACTCCCCTTGTTAAGTACAAATGGTAATGAGCTATGTTCACTCTTCTGTACTTTTGTTTCTTTCACTTAATAATTCGTATTGGTGATTGTTCCATGTTAGCACATATAGGTCTACCATATTCTTTTATGGCTGCATAGTATTCCAGTGATTGGATGCAGTAATTTGTTTAACAAGTACTTTATCTACGTGCATTTATATTGTTTCAGGTCTTCCTTTTTACAGTGATGCAGTGAATAAGTCCTTGTGTATATGAAGAAGTGGAATTGTTGCATCAAAGCCTGTACATACAAGGGTACTTCAGAAAGTTCACAGAAAAATAGAATTAAAAGATAATACATATCTTTTCATGAAGTTTATGAAGTACACTTGCATTTAACCTTTTCTTAAAGATGACCGGTAAGGGGATCTTAACCCTTGACTTGGTGGTGTTAGCACCATGCTCTCCCAAGTGAGCTAGCTAGCCATCCCTTTATAGGGATCCAAACCCGTGGCCTTGGTGTTATGAGCACCACACTCCCAAGTGAGCCACTGGACGGCTCCACATTATCAATTTTTTTTTTTTTTTTGTCTTTTTCGTGACTGGTAAGGGGATCACAACCCTTGGCCTGGTGTCGCCCGCACTGCGCTCAGCCAGTGAGCGCACTGGCCAGTCCTATATAGGATCCGAACCCGTGGCGGAAGCGCCGCTGCCTCCCCAGCGCTGCACTCCACCGAGTGCGCCAAGGGGCCGGCCCCACATTATCATTTTGATAGATGTTGACTGGTTGCTCTCCAAAGACATTTTACCAATTTACACTCCCAGCAACAGTGTATGAGGCATGTGCCTGTTTCTGCACGCTGTTTTAAAGTTTGATTATGCTAGTTCACACTCAAGTCTGACCACAACTCAGTAATTTGGAGGAATTCTTGGGATTGGTAATTGTAGGTTTATGGGGAAGTTTAAATATCTTCCTAGGGTAAGGGTAAAGTATAATAGATCCTGTAGTACAATGATTTTTGAAGGGATATTAATATTTTCTATTTGTTTTGTAGTATGCAGTATATCTGGCTTATTAATAGTTTTATTATCTTAATATAAAAGCAGGCATTTTCCAGAGGTAACTATCTTAGATTCTTAATTTAATTTACAAGATAATTTAATACATTGTTTAATTTATGTGTAGAAATTCATCTTGTTCATCTGATTGTTTTAGCAAACATGTTAAAAGCACTTCTAGATGCAGGCTAGCCATCTTCATATGAATTGTTTATTGAAATATATTTTAATTTCTGTGGTTTAATTTCTTCAAAAAAAAATTTTTTTAAAGCATTGAATGAATCATAAGCTCTTGGCTCTGGTTTTGCCCCCAGGACTGTACTACTACTTTCAGTGTTTCCCCCCACCACCCCAATATTTAATAATTGGTTTCAATTGACACTTTATTACATTCTATGAGATTTACTCAATACTTATTATATTTAGTACTTGATACTATTTACATAATAGTTAAAGTTAAAAAATTTGTTTTCATTTTGAAGTAATTTCAGGCTCACAAAAAAATTGCAAAACTATTAAGTTCCCTTTTGCCCTTTACCCATCTTCTTCAGATGTTAACATCTTACCATCGACAATTATTGAAATCAGAAAATTGACATGAATATAATAGCAATAACTGATTCCTGGACTTATTCAAAAAAATTTTTTTTCCTTAGTGGCTGACTGGTATGGGGATCTGTTTTAGTCCGTTTTGTGTTGCTGTAACAGAAATACCTGAGACTGGGTGATTTATAAAGAGAGGTTTATTTGGCTTATGATTCTGGGACAGCTGCATCTGACACGGGCCTCAGGCTGTTTCTACTCATGGTGGAAAAGTGGCAGGCAGCTGGCGGGTACAAGCAGATCACATGGCGAGAGGAAGCAAGAGAGAGAGAGAAGGTGCCAGGGTCTTTTTTTTTTTTTTTTTTTGTCTTTTGTCTTTTTCCGTGTCCGGCAACGGATTGCAACCCTCAGTGTTGCCCCCGTACCGGACCGGGGACTGGCAACAGGATTGCAACCCTCGGTGTTGCTCCCGCGCCTCGCTCAGCCAGTGAGCGGGAACTGGTCTGTTTGTGGGATCCGAACCCTTGGGCGGGAGCGCCGCCGTACTTCCCAAGCAGCGCACTTATTCAGTGCGCCACCGGGCCGGCCCGCCAGGGTCTTTTAAGCAGTGAGCTCTTGTGGGAACTAATAGAGCAAGAACTTACTCATTAATCCCCCCTCCCCCAGGGAGAGCATTAATCCATTCATGAGGGATCTGCCCCCATGACTCAAATCAGTTCCAACACTGCCACTTTGGGGATCAAATTTCCACATGAGGTTTGGAGGGGACAACACAGCCAAACTCCAACAGGATTCAAATCCTTGACCTTGATGTTGTAACACCATGCTCTAACCAACTGAGCTAACTGGCCAGCCCGTACATTGTTCTGCTAATGTTTTTTCTGGTCCAGGATGACACATTGCATTTGGTGGTCTCTTCCAGTCTGGGCCAGTTCCTCAGTCTTTTTCTTTCATGACCTTGACACTGGCCAATAATCTTGTAGACCATCCCTCAAATTGGGATTGTCTGATGTTTCCTTGTGATTAAATTCAGATTATGTATTTTAGGCAAAAATCATAGAAATGAAGTTTTGCCCTTTTTAGTGCTCATATCAGGGGGTACATAATATCTGTGTCTCATTAATGATGGTGTTAATTTGGCTAAGTCACCAGCAGTTTTATCGACTATTTCATTTGTACCGTCAGTGCAATGCCAACATGAGGACGGTAAATAATATCTTACATATTATTATGAAAATACTTTTGACCATATGAAGCCCCTAAAAGGGTCTTGGGGACTTCCGTAGGCTTTTAAGAACCAGACTTTGAAAATCATTGCCCTAGAGAGAATCTCTTATTGAGCACAAAGAAAGAGGCTTGTGTAAAAATGTTCACAGCAGTGTTGCCTGTAAAAGCAAAAAATTGGGAAAAGCTTAAATGTGCATCAGTAGACGAATGGATAAACTGAATTTGTACGGTGGAATACTATACAGAAAAGAAAGTTAATGTTAAGCAAGTAAATTAAGCTGCAAAAGAAAACCTGTGGTATTTTAAAGTGCAAAGCAATACTATTTATTGTTTAGGGTAGGGTTTCAGAACCTTGGCACAATTGACATTTTGAACTGGATAGGATAATTCTTTGTTGTGGGGTGTCCTGTACATTGTAGCATCCCTGGCCTCTACTCATTAGTAGAGTAGTGGCACTCCACCCCCTTGTGGCAACCCACAATGTCTCCAGACATTGCCAAATGTTCTCTGAGGGGGCAAAATCACCCCTGATTGAGACTCATTGGTTTAGGGGTATGTACATGTGTGGTAAAAGTATGCCAAAAAAGTGATGGTAAATACCACGTTCAAGAAAGTGGATATCTTTATTGTGGAGGGAATGGAATGCTGTTGGTGGAAGTGTACCAGGGGCTTTAACTATTTTCATACAGTTTTATGTCTTCAACTGGGTGGTGGGTACATAGTTGTTCATTACATTTTCATATTTTTTGTTTGACATATTTCATAGTTAATTTTTTTAAAAAAGACAGTGTTGTGATACCAGAAGAACAACTGAGGTTGCCTTTGATTATTCATTCTTTGTTTCCTACTTACGCCCACATTATATGAACAGAAAATTTATTGCAGTGTATTTGGGAATTAAGAAATGGGTACCCTTCAACATAAAATTCTTTGAAACTTTTCTGAGAGTTAAAGGT